ATAATTTAATCCATTTTTTCAGACGGTAATTGAATAATACATAAATATGCATGAAATATTACTAATATTTTAGATTATAAGTTTTTTATTATAAATTTACTCTTATTTATGAATGAGCTACTGCACAGAGTAAAAAAATTGTTTACCTCACTGTATGTATGATAACAACATTTGTAGTTAAAAAACATTTCGTATTAAAAACCTAAATATACGATATTCAAACCATTGATATGGTAATTTTTCCATTCATATGGTAACAGTATCCTGGAAATTCTGGTTTAAAAAATTATAGCTCTCATTACCATACAAAAATACAAAACTGAAGAGTATATTCAAAAGAATAAATGGTTTCTATGCCACGACAAGGTATATTTTTTATTATAGTCCCAATTTTCTAGGCTTCATAACCATAAATGATCGTTTTGGCTGAGCCTTTTCTTTAAAAATAACGCTCACTAACAAGTGTGAACACATTTACCTAAGAAAGATAACTAATTATTTTGGAAGAAAAAAATCATTTTTCTTTTTTTGTATCAATTATTATTTTAAATTGTATGTCTGATAGTTGAATTTCCAAATCTGGAGCGACACCTGATTTATTTCTGAACTTGTTTTTTTTGTGGTGTACATAACTGAAAATAAACAGAAAATGTTTTTTTTTAATGAAAAAACATGGACTAATTAAAGCATTGAGAATGTTTTCAGAGAGATATGTTCTTGAACTTGTTTTTCTTTCAACATTTTGATAGTAATGTGCATATTGATAATAATTTCATATTGGTAGTTTTATCAAACTGATAGTAATTTATTTAACTATTAAATGTTTAGGTAAAAATTTTTTTAAATTTTTTCTCCTTTTTGTTAGAGAAAGAGCTGCTAGAATCAGAAACGTTAATTTCTTCCGCTATGGAAAAACCGCTGTTTAAAAAATGGAGAAAAAAAAGCCTCGCCCTGAACGAAATAGATTTCTTCCCACCCAAATGGAAAAAAGGAAAGAAACTTTTTAAAGAAATCAACAATTAAAACAATTTTTAAAAAAATTAATAATGGCAATTGACTTTTAATACAGATATTATTTTCTAAACTATTTAACTCATCGTTTTTAAATAAGTGGAAAATGTAAGGCAAAAATTGCAACGAAAAATAGATTAATTGAATTTCGTAAGACATTAAAAGAACTTTTATTTCCAATACATTAGATTTGTATAATAAAATCCCTAATTTTAAAATTGTGTAAAAAAATTGCAAAACATCATAATCAAATTTTATTGCCACTAACAAATTAACAAATCGCGTGCTAAACATATAAACTACTACAAATAACATAATGAATTCAAATTTACAAATAGATGTCGATTTTTATGATCAAACTAGGAGGCTCCGCCCCCTGCTCGCTAACGCTCGCCAACCCCCGAGAATAGCTGCGCAATCCTATGTGGTTCACGCCGTGAACCATGGCTCGCTGCGCTCGCTCGCCAATGAACACAATGTTCTAGCACAAAGACATAATATATTATCATCAAAGACATAGTATTTTATCATCAAAGACATAGTATTGTACTTATGTAGAAGAATTCTACCAATGTTCTTATTGGCTTTTAAAAAAGTATATTAGCTATTTAGATTGTACATGGTGAAAAAATCAAAACATTAGCTAAATAAGAAACATATTAGCAAAATAAATTATCAAATATTGCTTCACTAATATTCTGCATTTTAAAGCGTGAAAATTCAATGCATAAATAAACGCGAAATATAAAAAAATTCAATGCATTCAATACAAACACTTAAACGTTTTTTAGACGTTTAGGTAGCTCCCAGTAGAAAAATATCAATTCAACAGCGGCCTTTTAAAGCATTCTCACTTCAATTAATTAATTAATTCCTAATTGAGTTTAAATTAAATATTGTCATGTTTTTAGTGCATGAATCTGAATTGAACAACCTGATAATGCTCACTCTGGTTATTGTTATCTGGTTGCTCACTACGTGCTCTTGCGCGCCGAATCCAATCAATTAAAAATGAAAACTGTTGCCAGCGCGAGAAAAGAAATATCATCGGTTTTATTGATACATACATACATACATACGTACGTATTAGCGTTTTATATAATATAGATACTCTTAAGTATTAGTACTTAAACCAAATTTTAAATAATATGATATACGAATTTCAAAATTTTGTCTAAAACTAAACATATAACTGAAAATAATAATTTCTTTATTAGAATAAAGAAAATGGGAATAAATGTGAATTTTCGGGTACTATCTTTCATATAATTTGTTAAAATTCAAACTTATTGCTAAACATTTGCATTGGTCATTTTTTGCTTCCTCCATTTCGTCCAGTTTTTTTCCCGCTTTTTTCCTATTTCTTCATATTATTATTTTCTTCTGGTCAAACTGCCATCCCTGGCAAAAATTTACGTCCGACTTTAAGTATAAAAATAACTCCTCCGTGTTTATTTATGAGAGCTATAAGATGTATTTTTTTATTTTAAAGTGTTCTAAATTTATTACCTTCCAGAAGTTCAGAAAATGAATTTTTGTTTTCGCCTTTATATCGATATTGCTTATTCTACATTTTAAGCAAGCTTTGCATATAAACGATTGATATAGAATAAAGAAGAAAAAAATAAAACAATTTATCCATTAGGGAGAAAGACGAAGTTTAGATAAATAGTGAAATAAAAAAGAAAAAAAAGAAATCTGGAATCTAAATATCGAATATACTTTTTCTTTTGTCGTAGAATTCGCGAAGAATTTTAAATTTTCACGCTGCACCGAACTCCTCATCAATTCCTGAAAAACTCTTCTTTAATGAGGTCTCCGTTTTCTCAATGACAAGACGAGTTTTTGTTGTTGTTGGGATCGTTGTCATGACAACCGCACATGCGCATTCATCGATTTTTGAGGATTTCAGCATTCCGTAAAACAAAATGAAAGATCAATTATATTCGGGAAGAAAAAGAAGAAGAAGCTATTACTCCTGGGAATTATTATTTTTTTATCCCCTCCCTTTGGAGAAATATAATGAAAAAAAAATAATAAAAAATAAAACCCCTTTAAATGCACATTGCCAGCCTTTAGAGCGGGAGGAAAATATTTTCCGTTAACGACCTTTTTCCTTGCTTTAAAATGTTGCATTTTCTATTGCCTTTCTTTACCCTATGATATTCTCTCTCAATTTTGGAAAAGCAGAAAAATAAAGGAGGTTTAATGGGGAGTTTCCAAACATTAAAGCCATTTTCTGGAATTTAGAACAAGTTTTTAAAATATGAAAAAGATGACCAACAGTAAAATAAAAAATACGCAAAAATGAATAATTTCTTTTTTCTCACTCTATGTGATAGAATATGTGTTCAGTGCACAAAATTAAAAAATAAATAAATAAATAAAACCCTGTATAACGTTTGATCAAAAGATTGGATTGTCAAGTATTAATATGCAATCATAATGGTTTCGAGGTTCCAATCTAAAATATGTTAATTGCTTAGTGCAGATGATAATTTAAGTTTTGAAATCAGACACAAAAACGAATTTTTTCTGATAAAAACATGTCTCTGATCTTCAAAATAGGAGCGTCTATCGTAATCAAGAAAATAGTCTATGCAACAGAGCGATAAAAAAATTTTTTGGACTCCTTGGACCTTTTCAGTAGTTAACGACATGAGTTTTTTTTAAACATCGTCTTCATAGCACGAGGGAATGCATCATGCCCTGATTTGCCTCTCTAAGTTATCGCGGTTTTTCTAGTTTTACTTTTTACTTTTATTTTTCCATTTTCGTTGATAATTTTAAGTTTTCTTTTTTAAATCTGTTTAGTTTTCCTCATTGACATCTTGCGAGTCTTGATAATCGGTGTCTATATTTGAGTGCTCGAAACATGTCCCCCCCCACCTTATATATTTTAAGAAGCAAATGAAGCTTTTCTGTTATCAAGAATATTCCTCTGCTTCAGTTTTTTTGTGATAAGATTTTCATTTAGTACGAAGGCACTCTTTTTTGTAGAAAAAATTATCCTTTTTGTAGAAAAATTTCTAAATAAAATATGAAATTCAAAAGCGTGTTGAAACATATAGTAAATTAGCAGGAGCTGGAGATTTAGATTATTAACTGGAGTGAAGTTAAAGCATCGAAATTTTTCTTGGCTCCAAGTCACTGCGTTTAACAATTGTTAATTAGTATTTCGAGTTTCATGTGTATTAATTAATGTTCTTGCTTCTTACTTTTTATTTTAATTTTGATCTGAAAATATTTTATTTATTTATTTTATTAATATTTTTATTTATTTGTTTATTTTTTGAACTTTGATGCATAAGAAATTTAAACAAAACTTTATAGACTTTTATAATAATTCTAATTCAACAAAGATGACTTTTAGCTCGGAGCTGTTCAAATATAACACACAAATCAAAAAAAGGACGGAATTTGTAATTTGCTGATTTTTGCTAATAAAAAAGGGGGATAGTGAAGAAGTAATGCTTACGTATGAGTAATGCTTACGTAAGATTCTAAAATCCTCTAATTTTCAAAAATTTTTAATTCTAAAAGAAAAAAACGGTAAAAAAATTTCAAATTAGAAATAAAAGTTTAGTTTGGGGGAAGAAATTTCTTAAAGAGTTTCAAATTTGAAATATAAGGAAAATTAAAAGCTTTTTTTTAATGCTAAATTACATCTTTTGCTTATATTAAATCCTAAAATTCTTAAAGATAGATTACTACACTAAGAGTTAAAATACACAAGGAGGCAAGCATCAGAAGGGGTTTATAGTTTGCTTATTTTAGTTGATTGAAAAGAGGGGGAGTCCGAAATTGACAAAAATTTTCTTGCGTAATATTTGAAAGGCTCCCGGTAGTAACATCTTTTTAGAAAAATAACCTTTTACCAAACTATACATCATGTCAAAATGAACATAAATTTTTTTTATGAATATATATTGCTATCTACCTTTCATGAATTATGTTCTTTTAAATAAAATTCATCGTTCTATTTACAGGTGTCGGCGAATGAATATTTTTTTAGATGCCTAGGAGAAGTAAAGTCTGTGAATCTGCTTCGATTTTCATATGGAGGGCCGATTACTATTTTTTTCTAAGCCTTCGGTGAAAGTGAAAGTTGCTGAATAACACCTGTTATGCCGCCGAAAACCGTTAACAATTCTTGGGGATGGAGAAGAAAAGAAGAGGACGAAGAAAAAAAAAATCTTCGCTGTGAAGAGAAAGTTCCTGCTCAACCCCCCTGCCCTTACCTGAATTTAAGACGATGATGTAAGAAAAGAAGTATACCTTCCATTTCAAAGAAAAATTTGAGTGTTTTGTAAAATGCGCAAAAAAAAGAAAAAATGGTGCACCTTAATATCCTTTAAACTGAAGATCGAATTTTAACAGGCTTAATCGTCAGAGGGACTAACTTTAAATATGCTAATTATTTTGTTAAGGAGATATTTTAACGTTTTGTAAGGACATTATTGCTAGTACTAGTTATGTTAAATATTTTTGAGGCTGACTTATAAAAGGAAATTCATTTAGTTTATAACGTAAAATTATTTAAATTTTTAAGAATTCCCCCCTTTTTTTTTTTTTTTTTTTTTTCTTTNTTTTTTTTTTTTTTTTGGTGGAAAGGTGGGTTGGTGTTTTTCAAAATTTTACTTACTGTAAGGAATTGGTCATAAACTTAAACTTCTGTGCTTTTTTTAAAATTTTCTTACTATCATTTTCTGAATTTATTAGGAAAAAGGAAGCACCAACCACTGGTGGGAAAATAGCCTCCCATTGACATTTAAGTAGGTTGGAAGTATACTTCCCATTGCCTTCTAAAATATTAAGTCACGATTTCAGACTCATAAGTTTAATTTTTCTAAACAAACATATTTTTTTCGATTGATTCGGAGTTATGAACCAGTAAACATTAAAATTTAAAAATACAATGGCTTTAAAATTACATTAATCAAGAACTATGCGATCCAATTTGTCATTTAAAATCACATAGTTTAAAGTGTTTTTAAAGTGTGTATAAATTACAATTCGAAATATTCCCGATTAATATTAAATAATTAAAAATAATAAGCATTTAATTATCATAATTTTATAAGATACGTATACGTATTTATACGTATTTGAGTCTGATTTCAAACTTAAAATGTACAATCTGTCTAAATGAAATAATATCTTTACGATCAATCCATAAACATTAGATTTCAATACACTATAAAAATAAACCATTAGATAAAAAATTATTAAAGTACTGTGCTTAAAAAATAATTGCGATCCTCATCCATAGACTTAAGCTTACACAAAGCATTTATAAGTTTTTCTGAATGCTTAAAATATGCAATTTGTTCGCCTGCTGATAACGAAGCACTGTTTTATAATTTTGTTCCAAAAAAATTGTTCTGGCCATTTGGTGTAACCGCCTTGAGTTGTCCGTCATCAGTTTTTTCCATTTTTTTTCTTTCTAGATAAATAAATTAGAAATGGTTTCTGCTGTCGAATGTAAACTAAATCAGTTCCAAATTGAAGAGATGAGTACATAAAGACTTTAAGCGAAGATTTCAGTAAATTTGGGTAGATTAGCTTCAAAGTTTATACGTTGAAAATAGGAAAAATAGACTAAGACCAGCCTCATTTATTGTCTGAAGTTGACAATTGGCGAAATCGGCAGACCTCTAATATTTAATAAAAAAATTTGTTCTCACGTTTGGGCTCTTTTATTCGCTGCTAAAAGTGAGGCTTTTAAATGTTACACGTTAGATCCGTGATGGCTCAGGGGATAGAGGGTTCGCTTTCAACTGAGGTGAACCGAATTCGAATCTCAGCGATGGCTGGTTTATAAGAATTCCGCACCCGGCTCCCACCTACCACAGTGCTGTCGTAAAATATTCTCAGCTGCAGATGGATCATGGTATTGAATCCTCTGTCCGTTAGGGAAACAGTGGGAAGTTTTCGTGGTTTTCCTCTCCATGTAATGTAAACGCAGATAAGCTCAGTCAAAAAGGATTGAGCGGGTTAGCTTCTGGATTGAGTTCAAAATTGAACTCAATGGTTCACTGATGGTTCACCTCATGGCTCAGGGGATAGACTATTGTCCTTCCAATGAGGTGAACCAGGTTTGAATTCCAGTGATGGCTGGTCGATACGAATTCCGCATCCTGCTTGCATCGACCACAGTGCTGACCTAAAATATCCTCAGTGGTAGAATGATCATGGGTTAGAGTCCCCTTATTGTAAGGCTAACCGTGAGAGGGTTTCGTGGTTTTTCTACTCAATGTAATGCAACTGTGGGTTAGCTCAATCAAAAAGCTCTCCACTGAGGCAAACTTCTCCCAATGCTTGAACCAGGAGTTCCCTTGTCTTCCGAACTGGGTTCAAAATTACAAGGCTGCAGAGTACATTTATAGTCGTAAATCAAAATTGGGTCGGCTGTTCAACGACGGTTATGAAATAAAATGTTATACGTTGAGTTTGGTCCTGAATGGACTTCAAATGCTCTTTCACTCTTAATAGATTTAAAAATTGTTGCTTGGGATCTTCATCCACTAGGGTGTATGGAACAAAATTACAACAAAACAAAAATATTAATGCGACTAAAATCAGTGTTGCTACACGATAAAAAGGAAATTTTTTCTTGAAAAATCGCAATTTCTTAAAAATATCACTAAGAACGTTAATGCCAATTCGCTTTTCGATTAATATCGTCGAACTTGGAACGAACCTCGTTTGCTTTGATAGATTGATTTTACTTAGATACATTTATCATATTTCTCGACCGTCTCATATTTGCAAACGTGCTTATGGTATGTTAAACATTTTAGCGTTACAAATATTTCGAAATTTTACATTAAATTTCTAAATTTCAATCTTTATGGTAAAAAGAAATAAAGATGAACCAATAACGTTTATAAAAATTCAATTTCTATATATAAAAATTTTTTTCAGGTAAAAAACACTGTTGAAATCATCAAAAGCATTTAATAATCCAATGCAATTCTGATTTCTTATAAAACAGTTCCCTTTCTTCTTTTGTTATTTTGAATTCAACGTTAAATAAATGAAAATTAAATCTCAATTTCTCATGTTTTAACACAATGTTCAATATGAAATTTCATGATAGAAATTGTATTTTAGATTGAAAATCTTGTTTACTTTTAAGCTATTTCTTTTTAAGAGCATTTTGTTTTTATGTTTTTAAGCTAAAAGAATTCTCGGGAATTATTTTTTAATTGAATGAACTGTCAATATCTGGGCTCTAACGAGGGTAACGATTGAGGGTAACAAATTGTATGATAACATAACAAACCTTATTCAAGTTGCAGCAAATTTGCATCACATTATGGTTCAAAGCTTTGAAATCAGAGTTCAATTTTCTCCTTTACGAACGAAGTTTAGAACTAGATCTAATCATTTGAAACATATAAAAATTTGCTTTTATTTAAATTTGTTAAGAATGTGTAAAATGAGTTTACACAATGAATCTTTCCCTATATAATATCTGCAAATTTTAGACTGAAAGGAGGTGGCATCAAACTTAACTGTTCCAAAATTGGAACTTCTCTTCCTCTCATTATCTTGAAATAATAATGTTTTAAAATACAATGATGAAATGCTTTTCTGTGATTCGACATTTTAGAGTAGTTATGGTCATATGCACCATACCCCGTGGTCAATAATATATATTTCAGTAGTACATATTTTTCTACATAAATTCAATGTGTATTTTCGAAATTCTTGTAAAAAATCGAGTAAAAAAAAAGATGCGCAAAAAAAGTAAAAAAACAAAGAGGATATCGAAATCTAAAGAATCACAACAGAGAAAGACGGTGCTAAATTAATAGAAAACACAGAAACTTTTAAAAAATGAATCAAAGAAACGTCTGTAAGTTTAAACAAGCAAGCAAACCGGTTTTGATATCTTTTATCCCATTTTTCCCCACTAGTGATTTGTTAGAATTCGATAATGTTTTTGTTTCTTCATTGCTTAAATATAATTTGCATGGGTTTAAATATTAACATTAATAGGATATTAATGTGTTTCTATTTTTTATATAAGTATGCATTTGTTTTACTTCCTTTTTATATTAACATTTTGAAATTATATTTTAAGGATTGTTATTATAGATTATCCTGTATACGCATATCTTTTAGTATCTTCCAAACAGGATCATTTGAATCTAAGTATTTCGGTGCTGTAAGTGCTTAAATATTAAAATATACACTTGTATACGAGGTTAAAGCCCATGACTATCATAAAAAGGGTGTGTTTTTGATAAATTTTTTTTAAAAATTATTTAACACTTTAAGCTTCTTTTAAGGTAATGCTTGGCCGGCATATTCATCATCGATGATTTATAAAAACGCATTGGACTTAGAATTCGAAATTTTTCAAACTAACGTTGTATGTTATTTTATAAGGCGATGCTTGATTAACTTCTAAGAGCATGAAGAAATGTTTTTTTTTTGTGTAAATGTGCTTAAGGTAATGCTTGGCCGGCATATTCATCATCGATGATTTCTAAAAACGCATTGGACTTAGAATTCGAAAGTTTTCAAACTAACGTTGTATGTTATTTTATAAGGCGATGCTTGATTAACTTCTAAGAGCATGAAGAACTGTTTTTTTTTGTGTAAATGTGTTTAAGGTAATGCTTGGCCGGCATATTCATCATCGATGATTTATAAAAACGCATTGAACTTAGAATTCGAAATTTTTCAAACTAACGTCGTATGTTATTTTATAAGGCGATGCTTGATTAACTCCTAAGAGCATGAAGAAATGTTTTTCTTTGTGTGTAAATGTGTTTAAGGTAATACTTGGCCGGCATATTCATCATCGATGATTTATAAAAACGCATTGAACTTAGAATTCGAAATTTTTCAAACTAACGTTGTATGTTATTTTATAAGGCGATGCTTGATTAACTCCTAAGAGCATGGAGAAATGTTTTTTTTGTGTAAATGTGTTTAAGGTAATGCTTGGCCGGCATATTCATCATCGATGATTTATAAAAACGCATTGGACTTAGAATTCGAAATTTTTCAAACTAACATTGTATGTTATTTTATAAGGCGATGCTTGATTAACTCCTAAGAGCATGAAGAAATGTTTTTTTTGTGTGTGTAAATGTGCTTAAGGTAATGCTTGGCCGGCATATTCATCATCGATGATTTATAAAAACGCATTGGACTTAGAATTCGAAATTGTTCAAACTAACGTTGTATGTTATTTTATAAGGCGATGCTTGATTAACTCCTAAGAGCATGAAGAAATGCTT